TGAGGCATTCTCAAAATTCAAATGGTATATACTCAAGGTCATATTTTGGCTCCCATTGATTTAGTTTAATTTTCTTCAGCTTCAACTGAACTTACATAGGAACAACTGATGATTGGCTTCACAGTCATCCCCTGACCTAGTTTCAACTGCTGATATTGAGTTTCTCCATCATCTCACATTAATATTGTCAATTTTATGTCAGTGCATTTCATGTGGATAAATCTGCATTATACTTGCCCCTCGTGTTGTTGAAAATAGGCATTTGGGATGAACAACTCTCTCATGTGATATCCAGTTTCTTTTCCATCACCAAGATCCTATTTTCCAAGTACTATGCCTTCCTTCCCCCGCCACCTTTGCAAGTCCAATGCAATCATTACCAATGCATCTCGATTGCAGGTCTGATCAATAGCAGATGGAAGAGGTTGGTAAAATTCTTCAATTTCTTTATCACTAGCTTTAGCGATTGGTGCACACATATGAGTAATAGTTATATTGACTGGATTTCCATGCACACAGATATTGTTGTATCACAGACAGCACTGTATTTCACAACAGATCCTGAAAAGTCTCTTTTGGCTATGAATGTGACACCCTTCCTCTTGAATTGTCATTTCTTGGCAAAGCAAACCATAGTATGATTGGCTGATTCAAAATGACCAATACTAGTCCATTTCAGTTCACTAAATGCTTAAGATATTGATCTTGTGAAATCCATTTCATTGTTTATGACTTCTAATTTTCCTAGATTCATGTTTAGTATATTCAAAGTTACAATTATTAATAAATCTCTGCCGTTGTTTCTTCTCATTGTGCATCATACCCCATCAGCAAATGAAGGTACCCAAGGCTTTCTGCCTGGAGCCGTTCCTCCATCTACGTTCCTCCATCTACGTCATTATGACTGACACTCCTGTGGGAAGGCAGCTCTCTTCCGTTTTATTTTGAAGGCCTTCCAACCTGCGGGCTCATCTTCTGACACTACATCTGACAATATCTGCTGCTATTTGTGAGGTTTTCAGTGGCTAATTCCTCAGAAATGGAGTGCATGGTTCTTCTTTATTGTTTGTTTTTAGTCTGGAAGCTCTGTTGAAACCTGTTCACTTTGAGTGACTTTTCTGGTATTTGAAATAGCAGTGGCATAGCAGCAATACACAAACCACCACCGTATGACAAACTGACAGACTAGGAAGAACTAAATGATATTTAGAATACCACCTGACATGTCATTTTAACCTTTCATGAACTCGCTCCTCAAAGAACACATGATGGAAAATAAATAATGATTCTGTTAATATGTAGGAATAATCTTAAATTATCTACAGTTCATTTAGAAATCTTCACTTGATGAGAAATCATTTAAAAACTGAACTCTTGTTGCTTATAACCATTAAATTGGTACCCTCACAACACAATATACTATTCTTCGGAGTTAGGTAATAGTTTTTGAAGGAGCTAAAATATTTTTTGAAGTTGAATAAAAGAAAGACAAGAACTTTGAAAGTTAAGACGGAAACACAACTCCAGCCACAGTTGTGTAGTAATGTGTACTATTAGAGGTAGAATAATGAGTGTGAAGAATAAAAACATCCAGGCTTAGAATATGATACACTTGGAGACTACTGGTAAAGTCCTGTAGCATGTAAACATTTTAAAGGCTCTGTGTAAAATATTTTGTATTGGATCGTTCAGCTGCAAGAATTTTAAGATATTGAAGTCATAAAATAAAACACCTTTTTCAAAACAAGAGCTTAATATCAGAGGGGCATCATTTACCCAGAGACAATGCTCTAGAATTCCTATTCTTGTAAACGTTATCCATTGTTATAATACATATAGTCAAATGTCCTTGTAAAGTCACTAAAACACAAGTCAATAAAGCACATCTTTCTGGTATTTTCCTCCTTCAACTGAGATCCATCTGACTTCGCCAGTGATACCCCTGATTCCCAGTCCTCTTCTGAATCTGGCTTGAATTTCTGACAGCTCTCTGTAAATATACTGCCAACATTCTTGTTGAATTATAGTCAGCAAAATTGTATTGATATTTCTTGATAATTTCCACATCTGTGGGGTCACCATACTTTGGAATGGGTACAAATATAGATCTCTTCCTGTCTGTTGGACTGGTAGCAGTCTTCCAAATTTCTAGGCCTAGAATAATGAGAATATCCAGTGCTTCATCAGATTATTAGAATATTTCTATTGCTATTCTATCAATTCCTGGAAGCTTGTCTTCCACTAATGCTTTCAGTACAGCTTGGATTTCTTTCTTCAGGACCATTGGTTTGATCATATGCTACCTCTCAAAATAGTTTACTCTTAACCAGTTCTTTTTGGCTTAGTGACTCCATGCATTCCAGTGTATGGGCAAATGGGCAATATTGCCCCCTGGAAGATGATGGAAAGATCTAGGATACTTGGGGTATATGCCCAGCAATGGTATTGCTGGATTTTTGGCATTTCTATCACCATTTATTTTACGACTCTTCATATCAATTTCTACAGTGGCTGTATGTATTTACAAGCCCATCAGCAATATGTAAATTACAATTTATCCACACCCTTCCCAGCATTTGTTATTCTCTGTTGTCTTGTTCGTTTATTTTTTAATTGGGCTATGATTGTGGATGTAATATATCATCTTTACTTATTTTTAATATGTTTATTGGGGGCTCTTACATCTCTTATCACAATCCATACATTCATCCAGTGTGTCAAGC